AAAGTGGGTGAAGGGAGACGTCGGACAAGGCAAGATATAACAAAATAACAATTCATAAATTATCAAGGGCTCATGAGGGAGAGCGTAGCAGAGAGGAAGGGGAAAAATGAGGACCTAATGCTGGGGGCTTAAGTGGAGAGGAAATGTTTTGAAAATGATGAGGGCAATGAATGTACAAATGCGCTTTACAAAATTGATGTATGTATAGATTGTGATAAGAGTTGTATGAGCCCCTAATAAAATGATTTTTTTTTAAAAATTAAAAAAGAAATGGCAAGAAGAAAAAAAAAGAAACCAAAATCTCCCCCCTCTCCCCAGCCCCCCACCACAGCGCCTCCTGCCCAGTCCTCTGGCTCGGCCTGCCCCCCCACACCCCTCTCTGGCGCCCCTGGTCTCTCTCTCTCTCTCCCCTCTGTCTCAGCATCGGGCCTCCTCTCAGCTTCAGGCTGGGGTCCCCGATGCCTGTCACAAGTTAAAAAGGGCTTTTAAATTGTGGCAAAGAAAGCTTTTTTGTTTTTCTTTTTTTTGGTTCCTCCCCCCTCTCCGGCTGATTTTGATGACTCGTGTTTTCTTTGTTTCTTCCCTCTTTTTTTTCCTTTCTTTTTCTCTCTCCTTTCTTTCTGTCTTCCCTCCCCCCTTTCCAAGGTCCAGCTCACCTGACGTTAAACAGCGAAGGTATGGTCTGAAGTTTTGGTTTGGCTTGGATTTGGATGGTTCTCCACCTGAACGCTTGGATTTTCTGTCCGCCCCCCTCCGCCCCAGCCCCTCCTATGACCCCCCCCTTCCAAGATGCAACGCCCGGCCCTCCTGGCCCCTCCCCGCCCCTCTGCCACCTGCCCGCCTCCTCCCTCCCCTCCCCACCTTTTCCTCTGCCATTTCGGGGTGTTGTTATTTTGGGGGCCTGGGGCGGGAGTAGGGGTGTGTGTCCTTGTCCGTGCTGCCCCCACCTCTGGCCCCTTCCCCTCATCTCACCTTGGTTTCTGACATCACGCGATGTTCGAAGGCCCGCCTGTCTCCATCGTCCTGTGCGCGTGCTCCTGGTGGCACAGCCCTGTCCTGTGTTCGCACTGCTCCTGCCACTCATTCCGAGCATTCTTTCTTTCCGTGAACCCAGGGACGAGAGCGAAGCCCCCCCACCTGGGGGAACAAGGAGGGGAAAGTGGGGGGGGGTGCGGGGGCGAAGGGGTAGGATGGCTCCCCCCTACACCTGGCCAGGGCCCTTGGAAGCCTGTAGGACAGATGAGGACATGGGGTGCAGAGCGATGGGGACAGGGCTGGATGGGGGGATGGCTGGGCCCGGCGTCGGTGTTGTCTACCAGCCCTGACCTGAGCAAACCCGGAGACAGAGCCCTGACTGGGCACCACCCCTTCTGCTCCGGCCCTCCCATACCACCCTCACCCCCCCTAGAGTCCCTCTGACCTCAGGTGGCTGGCCAACCGTGTGGTGTCCCCAGTCACTCACCGCTCACCCTGCCCAGCTTAGTCCTCTGTTGGTGTCCCAGAGGGGCAGACAGGGCTCCTTGGCCTGTAGGTGGGAGGGTGGGGGGCACAGGAGGAGGATGGACAGCTCAGTAGGGGGAGGGGGTGTCACGTGGGGTACGCTCGTAGGTGTGGTGCCTGGGAGTCTGGCAGGGGCCTGCGATGTTGGCCAGAGACACCAGCCAACAGGAAGCCCAAGTCGGGGAGTCACATCCCAGCTGTTCCCTCATACTCTTCTGGCCTCTCAGGCTCCCGTTCTGGGGGAGTCGCATGGGGCTCACCTTTGTCATGGAGGAAGGCCCCAAGGATCTCCCAGAGCCTCCCTGAACAGCCCACAGCCAAGATGGGGTCTGACTGCGGTCGGGGGTGTCCTGGGCTGGGGTTAGAGTGAGCACCCAGAGGGACAACTTTGCTCCCTACGTGAGTCCCCTCCCCCTGCTGCCACCCCACGGAGGCTGCCTGGGACCCATGTGCCCTTAGGGCAGTGGGGTGCTGAGAGGTACTTACGGAAGGAGAAGTAATTCCCAAGCAGGGGCTTCCCCACCGAGGATGAGCTGGTTCGCTGGTTTGTCGAGTCCCTGGCTGTGCCCGCCCTTCTCAGGGAGAGGACACACAGGGTTGGTGTGTGTGGTGTGTGGATGATGGGGGGCCAGGGGGGCTGGGGAGGCTGCTGAGGAGCTGAGCCGTGAGCGCTGGTCCCGCCAAAGGCTGCCTGCTAGCCTTTGGAGGGGAGGGCAACGGGCCCTACATGAGACTCAGGGCCCTTGGAGACTAGGGCTGGGCTGCACCAGTCAGATGGGGAGCTGGAACCCCAGTGAGCCCTCCCCCCAACCCCTGGGGGCTGATGGGGTCTAGGGGGCAGCTGCTCCCTAGCCTATGGCACCTGGATCCTTCCCCGGAGGTCCCACGGCACGTGGGTTCCCGCACAAAGGCCACCACTCTGCCGGACCTCCAGGGCCCGCCATCATCTCATGGCGGGGGTGGGACGGGCCTCATGGCCCCTGTACCTGATTCCCCAATTCTGCTTCTCCAGTAGGATCCTTACTGTTCTCCGAGGGGGGGGCCGGGAGAGGAGGAGCCGGCGAGGTGCACCAGCCGACAAAAGGTCAGTGACCCCATGCTCCCCAGAGAGCCCCGTCCACCCCACCCCACCCCAGCTCCCAGCAGGCTAGCCCGCAAGGCAGGACCCTCTCGGGCCCATGGGAGTTGGGGGGACTTTCACCAGGGGTTCTGTCCCTAGCGCTAGCAGGAGGAGCCCCAGACCTCCACTGCCTCCCCAGAGTCCCCTATCCTGAGGGCTTTCTCAAACCAGAGGGGGCTTTCTCTCTGGAGGGGCCTCAGCCTTCCAGGAAGGTAGAATGATGGGGCAGCAGGGTTCCCTGCCACCCCAGGGTCATCCAATTCTGCAAGCCGGAGAGGTGTCCTGTCCGGCGGTGTGGGGGGGAGGGAGGGCTGCAGTTGGTGCTGTGGGCATTAGTCTTCCGAATGTGTCGGATGTAGCACCTAGGTTAGCCCTCCCTGCCCTCACGGGCATGACCAGCCCTTTACAGAGGATGGAGACGGGCCCAGCACTGGCAGGTGGCCTGTCAGCCTGTCTCGGCTTCGGCTTCTAGGTTTCAAATTCCTTCTTCCACTCTTAAGAGAGCCTCTCTCCTCTGAAGGGTCAGGCCAGTTGAGCACCAAGCGCATTGGGCGCCAAGCTCTGGGACCACGGAGTCCTAGCTCCCTGCTCCCGGACAAGCTGTTCTGTCTGCCGGGATGGGCGCCAGGCCCCGGCCCCTCCTCCGGCCACTTGGTGTCTCTTTCCGCTGACTCTTAAAGAAAGCAGCTGGGCCGTCCACTCCGAGACCCACTCCCTGGGCTTGCCCCGCACGTGCTCGCCACTGCTATCCCAGCCCTGGGACCCTCTGCGTCCATACTGCCCCTCCCTTCCATGCTGCAGGCCCCGAGACTAGGCTTGGGTGCTGGCCTTTGCACCCGTGTGCGTGCGCTCAGGACATTTCTGCCACGTGGCTGAGAGGTTTCTGTTCTCAAGGGACTCCTTGGTGTGGTAAGCCGTCCTCAGGGACAGCGTGTGCCACGGCGGAAGACAGTGGAGAAGCAGACTTTGCTCAGAGGGTTGAGGTGCTTGCCCTTCTACCTGGAGACAGGCATAGGCCCTGGAGCTGCTGGACCGAGGCTGGACCCCCAGCTCGTGTGGGCTAGGCCCACGGTTAAAGGAGAAAAAGGGCCTTGGGCTGTTGCCTTCTGGACGAGGTTGGGAAGCTGCCCTGGGGGAGCCAGCAAGGTGCCCGGGGCCTGGCTTCACAAGGGGCTCCTCTCCAGGGAGTGGTACAAGCTGTTACTAGGCCGAACCGGCAGCTGGACCCGGTGAGAGGCGGGCGGGGTGGGGCTGGAGACCCTTCCTGAAGGATCTGGGTCTGGAAACGGAGGTGGCCAGCCGGGCTCCCCCCAGCACTTAGGGACCTAGGGCCACTGTAACTGGCCCTCCATTCAGGACAGGGAACTTTCATGGGGACTGCCCATTGTGGGAAATCCACAGGTGGCCTCCCAGCTTCCCCTGCCTGGGGCAATTGGATCTCTAATTGCTTCAACAAATCTCTGCTGGTGGCGTGTGTCTGAGCAGTCAGGGGTTCCAATCCACCAGCTGCTCCGAGAGAGCCAGAGGTAGCAGTCCGCTCCTGTCACAATGACAGCCTGGGACACCCTAAGGGGGCAGGGCAGGTGCACTCCGCCCTGCAGGGA